ATACTCATCCATAAATCAAAAGCATGTTATTTATTTCCAGTAAACAATTTCCCAATACGCATACATCATTTTTCAATAATAAATCTAAACAAAAAAAAATACTCATTAATTCCTTACATAATAAATTGCTAGTGTGACGTTAAATTTAATACACAAATAATATTTCTCCAAAGACTTTAGTTTTCTATACTTGAATCATAATATGATTAAAAATTGGCTGAGATGTTTCTCAAGAGATTTTAACGGTAAATAAAACTACGATGAAAGATTTTTCCTTCTCAGTTATGCTTACATATCGATAAAAGTTAAATCAAAAGCAAAACATACAAGAGATTAAAAAAACTAGACATACAAAAAATTCTAGTTTTTCTGTACAATGAATATTTCGATATTTTTAATTCTAATCATATTTATTATTAATAATCGTACTAATGCTGGAATTTATGGTAAGTGTATATGAATTAATTAAATTTCTATATCGATATTATTTTTAAAGAATCTGATGGAAAAATTCTTTTGAATCGTTCAATATCAACATTGGATTCGAATGGTAATTATCGTTTACCAAATTATGACTTTCTATGTATACAACAATTATCAAAATGTTCTAAACATGGTTGGTCATTAAGATTTCAATTAAAACTCAATCCAATAAATATTTTTGAACGTGAACGTAAATATTTATTATTTAGTGGTGGTGCACATGAACCACATAGTGATGGAATATTAATTTATTTATATCAATCAAAAAATACATCATATCTTGATATTGGTTTAAAAGAATTTCATAATGATCAAATTGCATTTTATTGGCAAATTGAAGCGGATTTAGAAATCAACAAATCGATTGATGTAGTAATCACTATTGAAAATCATGCAACATCAATTGGTCAACATCATCAAATGACAATTTTCTTCGATGGATATTTATATAAACAAACCGAAGTAGAAAAATATACAGAATTATATGTGTTTAAATATGAGAAATTACATTCAACATCAATAACTATTTATGGAAATGATTCCGGAGTAGCTCGATTTGATAATATGATATATTATGAAAGAATTCTAACAGATGAAGAAATTGCTAATGGTTTGAATTTATTTATATAATAATAATAAGATTTATTTCACAACATATTATTTTAGTTTCTCCAAAAACAGTTACATTAGGATGTTTGAATGATAATGATCGAACTCATCAATATATAATACCTGAAAATTATAATAATTGGAAATTATGTCGAAATGAATGTCATAATCGAAGAATGAAGGTATACAAAATTTAAAAAAATATTTTTTATATAATTATTTAATTAGATTGCTTTATATTCTCCAACTGATGGTCAATGTGGGTGTATATTAAGTTCATTTGAATTAGATCTATCATTTCAATATAATAAGAAATGTCAATGTTCATTAAATACAACATGTTCTACTGACAAAGAATGGCATGTAATTGTTGTAACATCTGTCATCGATTTGATTGATGCTGAAGTTGGTATGTTATTGTTTGAAGAATACTTGAAAAAAAAATTTGACTAATCTTTTTTTAAAGGTCTAGAAATTCGTATGGCTGATGAAAGTTTTTTAACTCAGAGTCGAACACGAGTTCAACGAAATGAAGGTGTTGAAATAATTGTTTCAGTTAAAAATGAACGAAATCTTGCTTCATTAACTGTTTATGGTGATATCGAAGGTCATGAACTTACTCCTACAAATTCAAGTTCAAATGAAATTTATATCACTGCTGGTGTTGTAAGTATAATTTTCAGTTTCTTTATAGAATCTACTAGAAAACAAATATATATATATTATTTTTCAAAGGTAAATTTATCTTGGAAAAATGAAGGTTCAAAAAAAGTTCAATTTCGTGCTGATTATCGTCGAATGGTACATAAAGAAACAGCTGAATATCGTACTGTTTATGTTGATGTTGTCTATATTAAAACAGATTTACCATTAAAATTTATTTATCTTTCACCTGATAGTCCAAATTATCAAACTTATCAAAATTTTACTGTACAAACATTTGGTAATAAAAACTATTTTGTTCCTAAAACAAAACTAATAAATATTTTCATATATTTTTTGTTTAGGAAGTGTACCAATAAATTGTACACTTGATTTTGGTGATGGACATCGACAAACAAATGGTACAAGTCGTCATCAATATTATACAGCTTATTTTTCAAGAAATTATACACGTTATGGAGAATATAATGTATCTGTTCGATGCTTCAATGAACTTAGTGTAAATACTACACAAATAACACGTATAGTTCGGCGAGAAAAAATGACAAGTAAAATGATTATATATAAAGATTTAATGGAAACATCAACAGCAACAAGATTTAATTTAATATCAAAGGAAGATTATTCATTTCGACATATGAATTGTTTACATTTAAGAAATATAATTACAAATGAAGAAATGAAATTAATTTGGAGAAAAAAAACACTTGAAGTTATACCAAATGAAGTAAGATGAAAATAAAGAATGACGTCATGTATAACATACTAAGTCTATAGAGAATAATAATAATAGTTATTATTAATTTGTTGTGTGTCAATAATAATATTTTGAGATTTCATAAAAATAACGAATTTTGTTTGTATATAATGATACAAGTAACGCTTATCCGAGGACTCGCTTAGCTCTTTCTCATAGAAACGTATCCTCTTTACATTTACTGGAAAAATAATTGAGACCCGTGAAAAATCGGTCTTCGACTTTTTTTGACCTTTCCTTCTCTTCACTACCCCCTCACCATAGTCACTCAATATACCTTAGATTCGAAGTCTCCGTATTGAAATACCTCAAGAAATGTCTTTTGCAGAAAATCGGTTTTCGATGTTTTTTTTGACTCTGCGGACATACAAGAAATCAGACAATTTATGTTTACTGGACTCTTCTCTACGAGAAAGAGAATAATCGATTTGTCTTTTTTTAAAGCCATTACCAATTGGTAAATATTTATATCAACTTGAATGTGATTCTATGCCATTACAACCTTATATTCTCAATGTTCAACCATCAGTTCGTTCATTAGAATTAGATGCATCAAAAACAACAATTAAAAGTGGTCAATCAATAGAATTTTCTATTTCACTTGAACCAACATTAGATTTAACAATTATATTTGATTGTGGAATAAATCAAATACCAATAAAAATTATATATATACAAGAAATACATGACTTATCACCTGTTCCTATTGGTAATTGTACTTATTCAACAGCTGGTAATTATCATCCATTAGTTAGTGTTATGAATCATATTAATATAAATAATCAATCAAAATTAATTACTGTTGAACCACCATTATCACCATTTAAAGTTGAAATTGAAAATCGTTTAGATATAAATCAATTAACATCAATAACAATACATACATTAGAACAAATTCCATTTGAAGGTTTATTTGAATTAACCATCGTGGATAAATTTAATGAAAAAAATCAAACAAAAACTGAACATGTACAATTAATAAAATCAAATAATTTTACTGAACATTTATATATGAATATAACAACATATGGAAAACAAATTTTACATATACAAGGAGGAGATTTTCCAACAATACGACAAATAGAAACAACATTTGTTATTGGAACAGAGGTAACAATAAAACCACAAAGTTATATTGTCAATCAAATTGGTTATGTTAATGAAGATTTTATTTGGGTTGATATACAATGGATAAATGGAATTGGTTTTGATATTGAAATTAATTTTGATACTGAAAATAAAGTTTTTCTACGATATGGCCAATTTATGTCAAATTATTTTAATCGTACAGCAAGAAAAAATAATGGAATACATCAAGTACAATGGAAAAGAGTTGCAAAACAACGTTTACAAGTTGGATATAAGTAAGATGATTTTAAATAATATCTTTGACAAAAAAATATTTATCATCATTTGAAATGAGAATAAGAAAACTCGCGAAAAATATGTGCGGCGTTTCTGAGAGCACCGAATATAGATGTAAACTGAGATTGATAAGTTTCAAATGGTGAGTTCTATTTCTGAACCCTCATATGTTCGATTGGCAGTAAACGATATGGCCCTAAATATGCGATAGCTTGTAAACACACTTGAAACTTAATCTAAGGAATTTATAATGATTTGTTTTCTATTGATAATTTAGATTTACAAAAGTTGGCACATATAAAATTAATGTAGTATTTATTCAACCATCATCAATACTTCTTCCAGTTGATTTAAAATGTCCAACAGTAATAATAGTTGAAAATACACTTCGATCAGGCGAAACATGTTTTCACGATAAACAATTTCATTTAGTATCATCAAATTCATTAAATAATGTATCTGCATTATTATCACCTGTTCTTCTCTTACCACATAGTCTACAACATGATTTAGAACCTATATTAACAACAAAATGTTCGATGGAAGATCTTATTTATTCATTTTATGTTCTCTCAATTGATGCATCACATTGGAAATATTCACGTACACAACGATATTCGAATACGAATAATCCAACATTTGCAGATACATTTCTTGAAAATTATTGTTCAAAATTTGGAGTAAATTCAACATTAACAATTGAACCAAAATCACTTTCATATGGTTATTATATATCTGTATTTACAATAAGTCGAAGTTCAAATTTAGCTGATTTTCGACAATTTATTCAACCAATTGAAATTATTCGATCAGATTTCATAACAACATTTGGTGGAAATGAAACAATTACGAATAATATGAATGAACTTCATTTAGATTTTTATTCAACAACAATTGATCCAGATAATAATGAATTTGATCGACGTAAACTTAATTTTACACTTATTTGCTATCCAGAATATCTTCAATCAAAAATCTTTCAACCAAATCTAATTCAATTAGGTTCATCAAGACCAACAGATACAAATTCACAAAATATAAATAATTGGTCAATACAATGGACAAATTTAAATTTAATATTTCGTCGATCAGAAATAAATTTACATGTTTATGAAAATCAATGTTTTTCATCAAATAAAAATCGTGAATTAATTAAATTTAATTCGGATACAAAATCTTTATCAATTAATGAAGAAGAATTATTATTTACTAATGGTACACTTCATTTTCTGTTTATTGTTCGACATTTAATGGATGGTCGACAATTAATAGCACGTTTAGAAGTTGATAAAGAAGATACAATTACTTTTGATACAACTGATTTAAGTGCATTAGAAGATGTTATGGAAAATTTAGATAATTTAGCTTCAGCAAATCCAAAAAAAGCTGTAGAATTTATTAGTGGTTTAGCTGATAAACTTAATGAAATGAGTGATAATTCTGTAAGTTAAATATTTCTAAGTTATAATATATATATATTTCTTTTCGAAAATAGACAACAGGAGATACAAGTGAAGCTGATATAAAAGCAATGAATGACCGAATGGCTGCAGTATGTTTATATCAATAATCTTAAATAAAATTCATATATATATATAATTCTATTTTAGATGCGATCAAAAATGTTATCATCAATGGATACAGTTTTAGAATCAGCAACTGATCCAAATATGGTTGATAAAGCACTTAAAGCTAGTGCAACAGTTACAGCAAACAGTGATCAAATGCCATTAGATAATCAAGTATGATCATTTTCTATTAAGTTTTTAATATTCCCGTTTATTATTATGATCTATAGGAAAAAGGAGCAAGTATTATTGAAAAAGTAGGTACGAAAGTAAAAGAAATGGAAACAGCTGATATGAATACAGTTACTGGTCTTGCAACATGTATGTATTATTCTAATTTTGTTTTGTTTTTTTGTTATTATTTTTAATTTGTAGCATTGATGGATGTTGGTAGTAATGTTCTTCAAGCTGCTTCAAAAACTGTTTCAAAAGATAGAGAAAATGATCCAGGTGCTATGATAGAAGTTAGTAAAATTATTTTAATTATTCATTTGTTATATTAAGAAATATTTATTTATATATAGAATCTTGAATCAAATATGAAAGCAACAGAAGATGAAGAAACAGATACAAAAGTTCTCTATGCTCCAACACAATTTTATGATACATGTGATGAATGTGATACGTTACCTGAAGAACGATGGGAAGTGTTTCGACAGAAATTAGATGAACAAAAAAAAAACAATTACTGAAGGACGAGAACGAGTATTCTTGTTTTTTATTTATTTTTATTCTAATAAATATTTAATTTTGTAGGCTTCGAATATTGCTAAACGAAGTTCTGGCGGTTTATTTACTGTTGGTGATGCTTTAGCGAATCGTTCATCATCAAATGAAACAAAAACAATTGAAAGTAAAACAATGGCAATGACATTGACTAAAGCTAATCCAGATGGTATGAATATTATTATTTTATAACTTATAAAAAAAAACTTATTTTTCTTTCAATATAAAAACAAACAGGTAAGTCAAGTTTATCAGCTGGTAATACAAGTATTCGTTTACCTGGTTTATCTGATTTAAATTCTGATAGTGATTCTTCTGATATATTTACTAAAGTACTTGAATCAAAAGAAAATCCATATGCAAGTACACATGGAAATTCTAGTGTACAAGGAAGTGTTGTAACTATAATTTTATCACGACCAGATGGTTCAGAAATGCCAATAAAAAATACAACACAACCCATATCTATTCGTTTATCAAGACCTATTGATAAACAACCAAAATATGAGCAACATCAATTATATGGAACATCATTTCAATATCATAAAGTCAATATACCTGATAAACAAATGACTCTATCGATATATATATCTTCTGATTCATCTCCATTGGATATGTATGGTATTTATGTTTCATATGGTATAAATGAAACATTATTAGAACCACCAACGGAATCAAAATTTGATTTGCTTTTTGTTTTACCAAATACAATAACAACAACAACAGAGATTAATTCTGATGATGAATATGAATTAAAACATACAATTTTAATGCCACCAAATGTTCATCTTGGAAATGGAACTTATATTTTTGGTGTTAAATTACTAAGTATGTTATTCTTTAAACGAAAGAAATATTATATTTTCATATAAAAATTTAGATACAAGTACAACAATGAATTTAACAGAATATAATTCAAGTTATACAATAAATATGTATGTATCAAAATGTCAATATTGGGATGAAAAACGATTTACCTGGAGTTCAGATGGATGTGAAGTAAAAATTTCTTATTAATTCATATATTAATGATTTAATTAAATATAAAATAGGTTGGACCATTGACAACATTAAAATCAACTGAATGTCTTTGTACACATTTAACAACATTTGGAAGTGATTTTTATGTTCCACCAAACACAATTGATTTTAAAACAGTTTTCAAAAAATTTAAAACATTACATGAAAATGCTGCTGTATTTTGTACAGTTATTGCTATTTTTGGTATTTATATTATTGCAGCTATTTGGGCAAGAAGAAAAGATAGGCGAGATTTAATTAAAGTAATTTTATTAAAATATCCGTTATGATTGATAAGATTGTTTGTTTGTGTATTTATTTAGTGGACAGCAGCACCTCTGGTTGATAATCTTCCAATTGATCATTATCATTATTTAATCACAGTTCATACTGGTGTTGGTGCACAATCAGGTACAACATCAAATATAAATTTGGTTATATCTGGTGAATCAGCTGATAGTGGTGTACGAAAATTAACTGATGGAAAAATTCAAGTAAATTTCATTTGTTACAGTAGGAAATAAATAAGAATTTTGTTTATTAAAGGAATTTTCAGCTGGTAGTGTTCGAAATTTTGTTATGAGTGTTGAAGTACCTCTTGGTCCATTACTTTATGTTCGTGTATGGCATGATAATTCGGGTCAAAAAGGCAAAGCTTCTTGGTTTTTAAATATGATCAATGTAATGGATTTACAAACAGGCGAAAGGTAATATATAAAACAATAAATATCCATTTTGTTTTTTGTTTTTTTTATAAGAAATTATTTCTTATGTGATAATTGGCTTGCAGTTGAAAAAGGTGATGGACTTGTTGATCGTGTTATACCATTAGCTTCATCAAAAGAATTGAAAAGTTTTGCACATTTATTTTCTCAATCTGTTAAAAAGAAATTTAGTGATGGTCATTTATGGTTTTCAGTATTTTCACGTCCTATTCGAAGTAATTTTACACGATTACAACGTATATCTTGTTGTATATCATTTCTGTTTTGTACAATGATATCAAATGCAATGTTCTATCGACAAGATACTCAAGGACAAGCAAATAAAGCGGGAGTTCTAATGAAAATTGGACCAATTGAATTTACATTAACACAACTTTGGATTAGTTTTATTAGTACATTAGTTGTTCTACCGGTAAATTTACTTATTGTTACATTATTTCGAAAAGCAAAATATAGTCAAAAATCATTAATAAATCATCAAATAAAAGAAAGAAAACGTCGAAATAAATTAAATGAAAAAGATGAACAATATCAAAAAACAATGAAGTTTGTTATTCGTTTATATATGTATCCTAGATTTTTGAAAATAATTTATTTTATTTAGTTTTTTTGCAAGAAAAAAACATTCAAAATTACATGAGGAAGATAATGAGTGTATTGGTGCATTACCATCTATGGAAGATAAAACGAGAACATTTCCACATTGGGTTGTTTATATAGCTTGGATGTGTAAGATTAATAAATAAGAAAAACGAAGATTTTTATTCTTATATTTTTAGTGGTTATGTTAAGTATTGTAACATGTTCATTTTTCATTATTCTTTATTCGTTGGAATGGGGTGCTAAACGAGCTAATGAATGGTTGATAACAATGATGCTTTCATTTGGTCAATCCGTACTTGTTATTGATCCATTAAAAGTATTTCTTATAACTGCAATAATAAGTTTTCTTATTCGTCGACCATATGATGATGAAACATTAGATTTTAATGATCCATTTACTGGAGCATTACTTTCAAAAAATAATATAGCTGATATACATGAAAATGATATTTATAATGATGCACATATTAAAGGTAAATTTTGAAATCTTTTATATAAATAAGCTCAATGAATCATATAGACAGTCTTCTTAAGTATTTTTCGTAATATCTATAATTTAGATTATCCGATAGAGAGCGAATAAATATGTAAAAAGAGGAAGTCCATATGTGGAAAATAAAACACATCATACAACTGTTAGTACAGTACTGAGAAATTGAATTGAATTTTTATCATACTGTTCGTTATCGAATTTGTAGATAAACTCTTTCTCTTTTTAACTTGTTTGTTAACAACTATTCGAGTAAAATTTTATATACTTCAACAGAATATTTATTCGATGTTTGAGGTTAATATATTTGAATTACATTTAGAAGTCGCACGTCAACGTCGTGTACGTCTATTTAATTTACGACCCATTGATTCAAGTGAAATGGCTGCAGCACGAGAACAACGTTTACGTGAAATAAAAATGGGTGAAGTTATTCGTGAGATTGTTATTTATGTATTTTTCACAATTATTTTATTATTTCTATCATATCAATCACGAGATACAAATTCATATGGTGTATATCGAGATACAAAAAATTTATTTATTACTACAGATTTTCATGAAGTTAATTCTCTTGGTAAATGGTGGGATTATTGTGATAATGTTTTATTAAAAGGACTTTATGCTCAAAAATGGTATAATGAAAAGAATTTAACTTGGAGAGAAAAATTAACAACTGGAAGTCGAGTATCAATGCGTGTTGGTGCACCAAGAATTCGACAATTACGTGTTAAAGAAAATAGTTGTCGTGTTCATCGTCGTGTTAAACATGTTATAAAACATTGTCGTGATGATTATAATTGGTTTGATGATGATACTAAAGATTATACACCAAAATGGGAAAAGATTTTAAATAAAACTGCAATGAATCTTGTAAATGAATCAAATAATGGATCAAAACGATGTAAAACACCTTGGTGTTATCAAGTTAGTTGAATTTATATATAATACATAAATGAGATATATCATTTTGTACTACTAGAGTCTAATAGCTGAATATTTGATCTTATACTTATGTCGTTTATTTTTATTTTTATCTAATTTTAGAGTAGTGTTCGTACTAAAAGTGGTCCATTTACAGGTCTTTATAAGACATATAAAGGTGGTGGCTATGTTGTATCATTAGGTCGTACCCATGAAAAAGGTGCAACTATTATTCGAGAACTTCGTTCACAAAATTGGCTTGATCAATTAACACGTGCCGTATTTATTGATTTTTCATTATATAATGCAAATGTTAATTTATTTATTTCTGTTACACTTTCATTTGAAATGACATCAATGGGTTCAGTTATTCAAGATTATCAAATAAAAATCTTTCGTTTATATGATCATATTGGTGGTTATGGTATGCTTGTTTATATATTCGAATTATTATTTCTTTTCTTTACAATTTATTCAACTATACATGAAATAATATTACTTGTTAAACAAAGACGAGAATATTTTTCTAAATTTTGGAATATTATTTCATTTATTACAGTCGTATTTAGTATAACATCAATTATAATGTATGGAACAAAGAAGACTTTAACACGATTAGCTATTCGTTCATTGAAAAAAAATGAAATGGGTAAGAATGGAAAATATTTTTTCTAGATTATTTTTTTCTTTGTAATTTCAATAGGTGAATTTGTTAATTTTAATGCTATTGCAAGTTTTGATGAAGTCTATTCTTATATTGTTGCATTAATAACATTTTTTTACAATGTTAAAATTCTTAAAATTACTTCGATTTAATAAACGTATTCAAATGCTATCGAAATCATTGAGTTATGCTCAACAAGATTTAAGTTCATTTGGATTTGTATTTTTAATATTTATATTAGCATATGCACATATGGGTTTTGCTGTATTTGGTCGTTCACTTATTAATTTTAAAACGTTTACAAGTTCATTAACAACTTGTTTTCGAATGCTTTTGGGTGAAATCAATGCTCCTGATATGTTTGCTGTTAGTCGACTCTATGGTAAAATTTAAATAAAAATAATTCTATAGAAAAAACAAATTTTTTGTTTTGTTTTATTTAGGTATATTTTATTTTCTCTCATTTATTATGCTTGTATTCATCGCTTTATTAAGTATATTTATAACAATGTAAGTAGATAATTAAATAATGATTCATTTGAAAAGTTTTGCTTGTTTTTGGTTTTAGTTTAAATGATTCATTTGCACATATTAAACGAGAATTAGCTGCAAAAGAACATAGAAATGAAATAATGGATTTTATGTGGTCGACATTTCGAAAAGTTGCTGGAATAAATAATCGTAAAATGTCAGGCGGTGAAGATGATTTATTGAAAATGGGACGTATGAATAGAGATCGTAAAGTTCCATTGGCTCAATTTGATCGCGATGTAATTTAAATACAGACTATCATTTTAAAAACTTAATATTATTATATTTTAATTATTAATCAAGTGTATTTTATCATGCTTATTCTGGTTTGAGTTAAAAGAGAAAGTATCAATAAAATTGATTTTCATGAAAGATGTAAAGTTACAGCTAAATAAATTTTATTTCATAAAAACGCAAACTAAGCATATCAAAAGAAATGCACCGAATATAATCTTTTTATCTTGTATTTCAGTAAGTACAATGATGGATAAAAATAATTGCCGTTAGAATTTTCAACGTTCGTTTTATTAGAAGTGCGAGATATTAAAACATTTTTATATTGATATATGATATAGGCACAGTATTCTATAAATACAATAATTACTAAAGGTTTCGCTCTCTCTCTCTCTTCGAATTTTGTAAGAGACAAAACAACTTACAAGTTACACATGGGTTTTATTCCATACTTTGTATTAGAATTTTGTTCAATTTATTAATATCTATAAATTTTATATTTGTAATCACTCATTAAATGACTTCGCTTATATGAGAGTGTGGGTGTGGAGTTTATGAATTATATATGCTTATTTTATATCGCAAAGAAAAAACTGAAATTAAATATTTCTCATTGTTATTAATTTATTTTATTTTAAAAATATAACATGAACATGAGGTGAATTTTGTTTAGGTTGACGACTTTGTTTTCGAATAAGCACACACATATAATACAGACAAATACTACTGAGTAGTACTAATAGCCCAGCAGATGTAAGTAGACTAGTAGCAAGTCGTGTACTTGGTTTGGTTAATTGAGTAACATATGAACGTTTAGTATCATACCAGCAATCATGCCATGTACCAACCTTAAATGTATTTGTTCAATTGTAATTCATATGTATATATGCATTGAAATAAAGAAAATGTTCTTAGTTTTTCGTTTGTACGATTCTATTTCATTCACTACTTCGTAAAAGTGTTAGTGAATATCTCATCATTAAAAAAATTTTGTTCGTATATGTCAGTCTGAATTTTATTCTTAAGAATTGCTTACCGGATATTTATTTGCTTCTTCAAGTGCACCAGAAGAATACATGTGATGCTTTGTTCCGTCTACTACGACAGAATTTGGTATATAAATCTTACGATTTATAGACCATGATGCTATATGACATTTTTCATGAGTTAAATATATCATACATATAGAGATTTTTGAAGATATACCAGTAATTAAACATGATGTATTAGCATAACTCAATGTTTTTGGCTTTTCTTTCATATAAAAGATGCTACCAATAGTGAAAAAAACAGCCGCTGTAATTAAACAAATTAAACCAAGTGATCCAGTTACTATTATTTTGAGATTTTCTATTTTGATGAACTTCATGAGAAATAATCACTGATGCTATTTTAATGCAAATGATACATTGTCTGTCTATTTATCTTTGAATAAATGTTATAAAGCACGTACTTCATTTAATAGTAGATGTAATTATCACGTTTATTAAGTCATAAACAATGTAGTATGCATAATATTAATATTTAATATCCTGTAAAAATAGATTGATAACTGCTTGCTTAGTTCAATTTAATATTAATTTCTTCTGCTCGAAATATTTTAAGAACCAGTTTCTAAAACAAACATATATAACTGTATTTGAATTATAATACCAAACTATACGCATTATTTGTATGTATTTTAATATTCTATTTATGCGTAAGTCATCCGTTTCTATACTAGAAAATATATTCGAATAGTCACAAAACAAAATCAGTATGTAACTAGTATTTCTATATTGTAAGAGATATTTTTCTCTAAACTGTTATCAATTGAAATACAATAATTCCTTGATTAATATTTACTTCCTTGAATATGCATCATGACAACTATTGGAAATCTACAAAACCATATATATATATATTAATCATTTGCGTTGACATTACATGTTTTAGCATGTAAAGTTATTTTTATTAAAAATCATGAAATAACATATGTAATTATATGATATAGACATTGTTGACTTAAAGAATAAATTTGTTTTTGCATGACACAATTTGTGCAATAACAATAAAAACAAACTTTTATTTAATTTTAGGATTTATTTTATAACAAAGTCTAATTTCACAGATATTCATTATGCTTACATACGATGAACGTTGCTGTATCCACATGAAAACGTTTTTGAAGTTCTAGCTATGAAAATTATCTTGACTTTCTTATTATTTATACCATTGACATCTTTATAAAGCAATAGGTTTTTATTGATTATGCATAAATCATATAATTATAACTACTTGTGTTTTGGTAGAAAAAAATATTTCTTATATACATCAAGTGAAATATATTGTATAAGTACATATAAAATGAATGCTTTGTCGTATGGCTGATATTATATAGCAATAGAATGATTATATTTTTGTTTTTTTGTCCTTGGCACAAAGTAGAGAAACGAAATCATTATTTTATTTATCGAAAAGGTAGATACGCCCATTAATTTCATTCATCGAAAAGATAAATACGCCCATTAATTTCATTTAAGTTGAACTTTATCTGGAATGTATTTTTTTTTATCTATCATTAAAATATTAGGTTAAGAATATTATTACAAGTGCATATCGTTTACATGTATTATTATCAAATATATACAAGTAGATAACAATGTCAACAAGTACAACATAAACTAGCTCGTAATAGTACGACACATATATATATATAAAGCGTTATATTTTTTTCTCTTTCATTCTATTTCGTTTTAGTTTATTATATAGTGAAAGTAATAAAAATGAGTGATAAACAACATAATCGTAAAGAAACGTCTAAACCAGAAACAAGTAATAGTGAGTCTCGAAAAGCTGATGATAATGAACGAGATAATGAGGATGATGATAAAGCTGATGATGACGATGATAATAATGATGAACAACCAGTACGAACCAATTTAGTTCATGAATTAAATATTAAGGCTATCGACGACATTTTACATGATCAAGGTCATGATCTAGATGAACAAGCAACAAAAGTTGATAAACGACGACGACAATTTTTAGTTCATGAACTTAAAGAATTATTTGAAAGCAAATTAGGTGCTAAACATGTTGACTATGGACAATCTACAGCATCTATTGTCAAGTAAGAAAAAACTAATAAATAATGATTTATTTTGATATTTTTATAAATTATTTTTTATTTTAGAAATTGTTGTAAAGAATTGCCATCAGATAATGATGAATCATTTTATATTGTTAATCTATCTCATTATGCTCGTCAATATCATCAATGGATGCATTTTCTTGGTCGTATTCATCCGTTCTATGCAGTTAAAAGTAATCCAAGCAGTTTCATTATAGAAGTTCTTGCAGAATTAGGTGGTGGTTTTGATTGTGCTTCAGCAGAAGAACTTGCTTTAGTACAAAAAATATGTGGTGATAAATTTGATTATGCAAAACGTATTATCTTTGCTCATCCATGTAAATCTATTTCTCATATTCGACAATTTCGTGATGCAGGTGTACAAATGACAGTAGTAGATAATGAAGATGAACTTACGAAACTAAAAGAACACTGGCCTGATGCTAAAGTAAGTCAAAAACTATGAAAATTCTATGAATAACGTATGTTTCTCTTTTTTTCATTTAAATAGGTTCTTCTACGTTTAAAAACTGATGATAGACATTCAATGAGTCCTTTTTCAACAAAATTTGGTGCTAATGAACGTGAATGTATTACTTTACTTCGATTAGCTCGTAAATTAAATATTAATCTTGTTGGATGTTCATTTCATGTTGGTAGTCGATGTCTTGATCCTAATCTATATAAGGAATCACTTAAATTAGCCCGACGTATATTTGATATTGCTCAACAAGATGAATTTAAATTTGATTTCAAAATATTAGATATTGGTGGTGGTTTTTCAGGTCATAATTGGGATAAGCCAAGTTTTCCTGAAGTGGCTAAAGTGATTAATCAAACATTAGACAAAATATTTCCGGAATCAGAAGGTATGTTTATCGTATCTATGTTGATTTATGTTAATATTCATTTGATTTTAGGTATAACATTAATGTCAGAACCTGGTCGTTATTTTTCATCAGGAGGTATGACATTAGTCACTCGTATTATTGCTCGACGTATTCACAATCTTGATTATAAATCTAATGAAAAAATAGTTGAACTTAATCGTAAGATGTCTTATGTACAAAGTTCATCTGAAAATGAAAATGAAAAATCTGATTCTGAAAAAGCTCTTATTGAAAGTGCGGATAATATTTATTATATTAATGATGGTATTTATGGAACATTCAATGCTATTATATTTGATCATAAAGTATTTATTGTACATTATATAAAAATAAATGATGATAATGAATCATGTGAACAATTTAAATCGGTTGTATTTGGTCCAACGTGTGATTCAATTGATTGTATTGCTCATTCGATTAATTTACCATTATTAAATATAGGAGATGTACTATGGTTTCCTGATGTTGGCTCTTATACAAGTGCATGTGCATCGAATTTTAATGGATTCCAAACGAAGAAATATGTTTTCATTTGGAAGAATTAGTTTTTTGACTAATATCTACTTAATTGATTGAATATTAGCATATAAATAAAATCAGTAAAAATCCATTCTAATTGATATCTATAGCATGTAAATTATTTGAAAGAGATATATTATTTATTCAACAATCTTAAATATATGAAAGTCATTTGAACAAACCGAGATATGTTTTCATCTTGATGTAGACTTTCTTCCAATATTATTGAGTACTTTGATTTGTACGTGATAGATGAAGTTCAACAACAGAAATTTGTAGAGACCTAAACAATAAAGATGCATGAATCATGGTGCGTTTATCTCTCTCTCTACTTCTTATTTATTTTCAACAAATAGTAATCATAGCTATAGAAATCAACACCATACATCAGAATTTGGCGTTCAACGTGTCTTTAAAACTCGTAATTGGATAAATTATACTCAAATAATTTAATTCTGTTAATGGTCATCTTTTATTATAACTGACCGTACATCCTGAGTGAGACAGCTTACTATTGCACATGTTCAAGTAAGAGTTCAGTGCTACGGCTTTTAACGCTGAAAAGAAGAGATAAACATGTTGAAGTACATACTTTCCGATCAGTTGGCTAGGAAAGTGCTAAAAAAATAGTTTCTCAGAAAATACGAAAAACTACAAAAGTGATTTTTTGCCATAACAAATGCCTAGTTTTGTAGATCGTTAATTAATGCTTTCAATTAATATTTGACATGATTCAGTTCTCTTCTTTTACTTGATTTATTATTAATGATTTGAAGTTAAGAACAACTGAATCGTAAATCATGTCTTTCGCGGAAGTTCCGGAAATGATGAATTAAAATATAATAATGAACGTTAGGACTGTCATTCCGTTTATCGATTTTTAGTTTATTTCCTCTATCTTATTGTTGTCAGTGAACCATGACAAACGAAGGAAAAAAGTCACCATTATTTTCTTTTCAACCCGCAATATACAGACCTGTCTATACAATATGCCTTATTTTTGCTGTACGTGGACGGATATTATTCAGAAGACAAGGAAGAAAAAAATCAACCACTCTCTTTACTTTTGACCTTACCGTATGTAAACTCGACGTGTACAATCTGTTATCATTTTATTGTACGATGAAGTGAATAGTTTGACTATAATAGACCTCAATAATAAAGCTAGTTAACATCTATGTCTTCATCTTCGCCATCATGCATCTTAGTGATTGGAGCTACTGGAAACACTGGTTCATCTGTCGTAAAACATCTCTCGGACCTTATCACCTTATTACCATCCACAATAGATCAGCCTCGTCACATCATCGCACTTACTCGCAATGCAAAAAAGCCGACAGCTATAGAGCTCTCTAAACTGGATCATGTAGAAGTTCAAGAACTGGACTTATCATCAGTTGATAGCTCATGGTTAATCGCCAAAAACGTAGTTCGCGTCTATGTGGCTACACCTAATCAAACCAGTCAATTCGTAGACGAAAGTCAATTCTTGCTCGTTTGTAAAGAAGCGAAAACAATACAATATTTGGTTAAACTATCTACAAATCCGCATTTCATTACTGCCGATCATCCAATTTATTATGGACGAATTCATTGGGCACTCGAGCGTATGTTAGAAGAAAAAGAATTCAAAGAACAAGTCAACTGGACGATATTAAGAGCCAATGTTTTTGCCACTGGACTATTATCACCCTCGATTGAAATGTGGAAGAAGGATAAAGACAAACCTATGGCTCTATTGTTAGATGAACATTCTCCACTAGCACTCGTTCATCCTGCAGATGTGGGAGCTGTTGCGGCCAAACTACTATCTTTAACAGATCCTTCACCACATTTTCACAAAACTTATACTATCTCAGGTCCTGAAGATGTTACCGGCAAAGATATCATTTCATACGTAGAAGAAATCGTGCAGAAGAAGATAGATGTTGAATATAAAAATGAGAAGGTATTCAAAACTGTCATGGAGTCTGACAAATATCCAGAGAATGTATGGAAATCAATGGAAAAAGGTCATAAGAAGAATCTATGGACAGGGCAATCACGACTCGCAAATACGAAAACAAGCGATGAGGTTGTCAGACTAGCAGCACCGCATTCAACAGTCAAACAGACCATTCAACACGCTTTGCAAGGTTATTTATCTTTTTGATCGTAGTGTCGAGCGATTCGCTGGAGCTATGTTTCAGATGATAGACATTAAATTATTGATTGTTTGCGTTTCGTTTAAACTTTTTGATAAATAAATAAACAAGCTTTTTATATCTATTATTTTACGGAAGTTAATAGGAAATGAACTTTAATTTTAGTCTGAAAATAATCGCACATGTTTATGGTGAATAGTTGAAATAACGAGTAATCTCAATCCGTAAGTATAGTTGTTTTTCAATGAGATGTGGTTTAAACTGGAAGCTAACGTTTAGTCATAGAAAAGTATAAAAGGCGAAAAGTAATACTTGATAAACGAGGTCATCAATATCAGAACGAAGAAGTAATTTAAGTAAAAAACGTTTGTCTTTAATACAGTTAACTCGCAGATCACAATTCTAAAAATAGTTCATGAAGAGAGAGAAGATAGATGAAAGAACTTGTTGCATACTCTTGAAGTCAAGTACTCCGATACTTAGCAAAAGATGACTGAAACTTTGTATATTATTTGACTAAGTATTAGTGAGTGATGTGATAATTATTAACAGACATCACGTTGTAGAAAAATAACATCAAATTTCGATCAACTTATAGAAATTGTTATAACAAAAAAATAAATATGGATATTTGGTCAACAATTTCTTATTCCAAATAAAATACATGATATAATAAGTAAAAGTGATTCTGTTTGCATTTCCAATTAGGATTTATGTAACAAAGTTTACAAAAATAACAGTTTGACAGATCTATGTTTTATATATTACACATGCAATAGTCATGTGTAGCTTTATAACAATCAAAGCAGTACTAAAACACTTACGATAATGAATGCGAATTTTTTTCATAAATAGCAAAGATTTCCTATGAGATATAAGGTTATCTCTATTGTATTTTACTAGAGCAGGTGAAACAAACAATAGAAGGAAGATGAAATATTTCTTCCTATTCTTACATTTGGTACTAATCAAATAGCATGGAGAAATATTATACCAATTAACTATTTTATTTAACTTAAAAAAAAAACGAATTTGTTCAGTCAGTAACATTTTCTACTCTTTCAAGTAGTCGAACTTATTCAGTTTGTATAATACAATGAAAGTGCACAGGTCATTGTAATAAAAGAAGCAAAAAAGTACATATTAAAATTAATATGATATATAAAAAACGAAAGCACTGTAGTTACAATTAAAGAAAATGATATAACAAATAATCTTATTATATTCGATGAATATTTTATTACAACAGACATAAATAAACCATTTAATGCTTGTGTAAATACAATTAACCATGTATAAAATGAGAAACCATGAAATAGATTTAAATAAGAATATCCAGTTTGTGAATTTCTTGTTATTATTATACTAATAGCAGGTATCAAATTAAAAATAGTACCATAAGTATAAAGAAAAATATTTTGTAGATGTAGGGATTCTGTAAAATTTTTTTTTCAATATCCATTCATTATAGACACCAGCAAGACCACTTATACTACAATAAATAATTATCATTGGTATGCCTAATGGACGTATATACATTTCTCTCATTACTAATGTTGAATCAACAATTGTTTTTGAAATAAATGATGAATTTTTTAATGTACCTAAACTATAAGCAAATCCACCGAAAAAAAGTAATGTTAATGCAAACCATTGTCGTTTGGTTAATTTTTGTTTAATAATTAAACGATAAAGAATAGCTGTTGTAATGATTTTAAAATTTGATAAAATTTGATACGATGCTGGATCCATATGAAGTTGCATATGTACAGCTAAATTATTATTTAAAAAATAGAGAATAGCTGGTATCGAATATGGTAATGATTTTTTAAAACAGGATAATATTTGAATTTTATTGAAATGAATTTCTTGAAAATAAATAAATGCATTTAATGAAAAGAATAATTTTATAAATTCAATCATAAAATTCATTGTTGCTGATGAAAATGTAATTTGACCATCTTTTTCACATAAATGAACCAATACTGAATATGAACCATAAGCAATTATTTGAAAAAATATCATTCCACGAAAAATTATTGAATGTAAAATATTTTTAGGATTTTGTTGCATTTTTGAGGAATTATTTGCTGAAGATAATAAAGACATAGATGAGAATTTATTTTCATGATTGTTCGATAGAGTAGAGTCAGTCATGACTAAACTAAGACTAGTGTTAGTAATAACCGACATTGTATGTTGCTGAAAAAAGAAAAAAGAAAAGAAGGAGATGCTCGCCGGTTGCAACACATCAACAGAACAGAGCAAAACTATGTTCCTGAATGTGCGATTAGTCGGAGAGGAAAAAAATAGCAAAAAGAATTTTTTTCTATTCTCTCAATAAGAAAGTATAAAAGAAGGAGAATATATATATATGAAGCTTTATCATAACTCTAAGCAATACAGAATAGATAAAGTGTAGTAATCAGAAACTAGTTGTATGTAATGGAATAAATATTATTAGTATTGAAAACAAAATAAATCTGTTACAGTTTCGTTTTATTCGTAAACAATAAAAATAAATCATAGATTTTCAATCTTATTGTATGATTCTACAATCTTATCTTTTAGTGTCAATAAAGTTTATATATATTCATGTTGAAACAGCTTGTCGATACAATCTTTTAAGAATAAAAATGTGTCATTCATATTCTTTGTATAAGGTAATTGATGTTCTAGCAAAGATATATATATATATATATGTAATGAATAAACAATAAATGTTAATAAGTTTTTAAAGCAATTTTTTATTAGATTATATCTGAACATATTCCATTCCATGTTCGAGAAAAGACTGAAAATAGTATCATTGATTTCTGTCGACATCTGGAACTCGGCCAGATAATAGTTTATGTTTGGTCAATACAGTTTACGTCGGAACTAGAAATATGAAATCTAGCCATGAGAAGAAATTTGTATTTAGAAATATTCTTTTATTTTAACGATAGATTTTGTACTTCTCAATACAACTGTTTCGTAAGACATACTATCAAAATATGAGAAAGTAAAAGAGTAAATTCATTCAAGTGAATATTATCGAAAAGAAGAGTATTTGAAATGAGCATCATCAATCATCTTCATTCTAATGATTATCATCTGTAGCGATTTGTAATATAGATATGGGAAGTGCACAGTTACTCGCAGAGTTAGACGTAGGTGAAAGTGAGGATGTGATTCAGTGTGAGTGCACTGCTTACCCCTATTCACTTAAATACTAATATTAAGATCAAACTTCGCGAGAAAATGCCTCTGCGAGCAACTGTTCTAAACCCTTAGATATACTACATGAAGAAATAATAGTCATACAACTATAACGAACACAGAGTGAGTTGTTACTTAATCTTGAAAAAGTTTTTTTAATGTAGTTTAGTTCTTAATTAATTAATTATACATGCTATACTTACTAATTAGAACTTTGAAAGAACGTTACATTCATGCTAGTAACATCATTGAAATTATAAGTTGCAGGAACTTTTCAGCAAACTATATATTGATTGTGATATATCATAATCTTCACTACGTGGTGTATGCATAAATATAAAATGATCATATGTCGTAATCAGTTAAACGGAGATAGTAAATTAAAAAATAATATGGACAATAATATAGAGGCGCGTAAAATCTTGTCATGGAGGTTGAATATCACGAGCAATTAATAGACAACACGAAATACGTTTGCAAAAAAAACCTTTGTTATTATTGGATATTATTCTCTATCTACCTAACATATTTGTTTCATGAAGAATATGAGTTTGCGTATAGAACGAAATAAATTAATTTTTTCGTGAAAGATCTCATATGACAAATGAAACAAACATTTCAAGAGTGGTACGTATGTGAACTAATTTGAAAAGTTCTTTACTCCTGTTATTCAGAGAAGGAAGTACTTGAAAAAGTACAACTTAAAATCAATACTCAATAATTTCTATCAGAACATAATACTGATATGTTTTATTCTCAGAATTGAAGTTTAGAAGTCACTTTCTATGTTGCACCTACTTGTAAATAATAGAAACAAACTAGAAGAAGGGGAACACAGTTAAGTACATCAAGATATAAAGTTACTTTCAAATTTTAATATGCAAGTTCTTCAGATGTAATAAGATAGATTCTGACAGGGTTGAAAACTAAGATCAAATGTTCTATCAATGAATGATACATGATAAATCTATAATATGCAATAGTTCTTTCATAAATCAAATATTTAACAATACAATCTTTTCCTCTCATGAAATACTGATTTCAGATTTGTATAGAATTGATGATATCTCACATAATACTTGCAGCATATTTCATAAGTGTTGGTTAAAAGGATCTAAATGATTATCTGTCAATGTCCTTTTTTTTAAAGGTAATATTACAAATATAGTTTGAATAAAATTATCAACTACGCTAAAATTTTATACTTCATTCGTTTTCATTTTCACATATTTGTGCAAAAAAATTCAAATTAGAAAAAAACAAAATTCAAGTTCATTTTATCTTTATGAAGAATAAACAGTACGTGTTTTTGTTACTTTAACATTTGGTGGATTAAATCGTTCTCTCATTAAATCTCTTTCAGTTATTTTAGCTACATTCATTGCATGTTGAATTTTTTTTTCTAAATGTCGTACAGCAGCATCTCCTGGATGTTGTTCAATTAGTAATGGACGTCGATCAATACGATGATTCATTTCATCTAATTTTTTAGCATATTCATCTTCACTTCGACGCATTGATTGTCGAATTTTACGAATCTAATTGAAAAAAAAGAAAATAATTCAATAATATAATTTTTTAAATTAATAATTACATTTTCTTCTTTCTTTGCTTTATATATGGCTGATTTATCTTGTGATTTTGCTCGTTCATAAATTCTTTCTCTTAGATGTTTTTCCTTTGCTGATCTTGATCGTTGAAATTTTTCTTCAAATTTATTTCGAAGTTCTTCATCTCGTCGTTTTTTCTTTCCTATTCTTTCTCGTACTTGTTGTATATCAGTTGTTTTTGTTGGTATAGCTTCTGGTTGTTGAAGACTAGCTGATAAACTTATTCCTGATGCAGATCTTGGTGGTAATTGTTTTCCTTTTATTTGAAATGTTTGTAAATAACGTGTCTCTTCATCATTTCGAATATCATCAAGTACACGATCTTTTCTTGATGGAATCATATTTGTATATAATAAAAATGGTTCACATTTTGTGGGTGGTCGTAAACGTTTTGCTCGTTCAGTTTCACGTAAAAATTTCTCATGAAGTTTATCATAATTTGGTATATAATGACCATTTGTTTTCGGTTTAAATGT